ATCCTTAGAACAATAAAGCATAAAACCAGCAAGAACAGAGTGCAGGGCACCATGTCAGAAGCTGCCCCACCTTTTCAACTTCTGCCAGATTTTATGAAATCTTGCTCTTACCTCACCAACTGTGCACCCCCTCAAGCCTGCTGCAAAAAGTTGTATTTTTTAGAGCAAAGAATAAACATTTCACCATGGGCAATATTTTGTTTTCTCATTTAGCAGAAAGAGAACAGCAGACGTGTAACTAGACTTTATAGTGGAGCGAAAAAGTGAGGCAATGGTGAGAAAGTTACCAGTGGAAGGGGAAGAACCTGTCACACAAGCCCACTCACTTCTTTTCCTTCCGTGGCAGCTAGCCAGTTAGCCCCTCTGTATTACTGACATGCAAATAGCTGCTTTATACATCAAATTATAGCATCAACATTTACCACATTATAAGCAGTCAGTTGAGACAGTTTGCCTGTTTTTCTACTAATTATCACAATTTTTAAGATAAGCTTCGAAAGGAAACAGGCACTATCTTGGAGTCAATCTTTGCTATTGTTTATTTCCCTTTTTTAAAACACATCATTAGGAACAATGTCATATATTTAAAAGTGCTGAGTTTCAAATGTTGTTTTACTGTCAAAAGGATAGTAGTTCCATTTTAAAGCAATGACTGAGTCATTCTAAACCTCTTGAAAAGTCATAAATCACACATCAGACAGATCCCAAAAAGACCATTAGACATAAGCTGTCCTTCTTCATACCAGTAATTCCACTGCAGTAAATTTAAAATTTAATGGGACTACTCCAGTGAGTAAAATAGACAGGTGGCACTGAGGCTATGCTCTGCTCTCATGGAAAGCACACAAGAAACCATTCCAATACACCAAATACAGAACTGGTAACTCCTTAAAGCCTCCTTAAGGCACTGTGAGCACAATGAAATGAGTCCAGACTTACCTGTTCTGCATACACAAAACATATGCATGCTAGCAGCACTCAACACCTATAGAACTACACAAAATGCTATAGTTGTGTGAATGGATGACATATTAAGCCAAGCTACTAAGTGCAACCTAATAAGTAGAATGTTCTGAGTGTGTATTTTGATCTGAAGCATTAGACTAATTTAAATACATTGATGTGAAAATTAAGACAATTTTCCCACCTGCTTTTACTAAAATGTTTACTTTTTCTTACAAAAAAAATTTCCTGAAAAAGAATTTATTTACTAATTAAAGATAAACATTGTGATATTATAGCTAAATATGCATTTATCCAGTGTGCCATGACACAGAAATTATATACCACTATGAGACATCACATACACACACAAGTCAACACACTGAGAACAGGTAGGCTCATTTCAGGCTCTGGCATGAATAATTTGCAAATTACAACCTTCCTTTATTTTTTGCCAGCACCAGACCCACCCCTTTAATTGTACTCATTTATTCATTCATTCACTAAAACAAAAAATTATATATTGAGATAAAACAAGCTTCAAAAAACCCTGAAAGAATTAAGAGGGAAAGGACCAAAGCAGGAGTTAATAAAAAACAATAACATCCTTCTAGTCTTAAAAGAAATACAACACACTCTAAAGATCCATTTTGTCTTTCTCACCTTTGTCTATTTAAGTCAATGTCATTCTTTCAGACTGCATTTCTTTTGATTTGCTTAACAGTACACTTCATTGTTAAGCATTGCCTCATCAGCACTTCTGCTGAAAAGCCCTAAAATACAATATACTTTGTATTTAATTACAATTATGCAGATATCTTTTGGAATTACTTTGTTACAAGCAATCAGATATAGGGCATTCCATGATTTTAATAATTGTCCCACATGACACTTTTTAAGGTCATCTAAGTGATGACCAAATGTGATCTGCAAACCTCTTCAAATCCAGAGGTGATGTGTGACAAATCATATAGTTTAGGGTGAAGGAGGGAGTCTTCAACAAAATCCATCATTCATTGTGTTTCACATAAATAATTTATACAAAGCCACTTCCCAAACCCTAATACTTACAACAGAAAGATTTAAAACACATGCATTTAAAACCAAAGGCAGCGCAGAAAGCCCAGTTGCATATGGCAGGGCTGCCTCTCAAACACTATTATCATAGGGAATTCATTTTAAAGCAATAATCCACTTCTGGAATACCAGCACTTCACAAAATTGTGCGATACTTTCAGGGTACTCTTTGGAATATTTTCATTGGAACTAATTTCTGAATTTTTAACATTACTCAAAGCAAACAGCAAGTATCTGGCTTTAACAGTGACCTCTGCTAAAGAGTTAAAAATTATGGCAAAACAACACTTGAAAGTGCATGAAATAGTATTGAGCCTTCATCTTTCACTGCATGTTTTGCTTTTAACATATAAACAGAGGAAAGGTGATTAAAATTTAAAAAAACCTGTTTTATTTTGCTATTATAGGAAAGGCTGGAGAAAAATTAATTCATTTTTCCCAATGCATATCCTTCAATCCATTTTTGGAGATATCTATGAAGGTGACCAGATTTGTGATAGAGGTTGGGCATTCAATACTTCTCCACAAAAATGGCAATAGCTTCTGAAACTCAGCTGCCCCATACAAAGCCGACTTCCATGATAAGGAACTAAAACAATGAATTTATTTTTTCTCCCCTCTGAATAATAACCTAGATTTTTAAAGCATTTTCCTGTAAGTTCCCTCCACTAGAGGGTAAAATAGAACATCACGTACTGTGAATTGTTAACTGCATGTATTTTATCCAATGCAGTCATTGTGGGTTATAGTAAGATTTAGTGAAACAAAAAATATGACGCACGTGTAAAGAAAAAATTTATTCTGAGAATGTCATCATCTCTGCAACTACTTATGTGCCCCTTGACTACACAGCACAGGGTATTGGCTAGTTGTTTAACCACGCTGAGTAGGCTGAGTGATAATAAATAAAAAATAAATCCAGAAAACCCAATACCACCAACTTTTGAAAACATTATTCACCGGTCTAAGATGGCTACCTCCATCTCAGCAAAAGTAAACTTCCTAACCAGCCGAAGAACTAGCCCCAGGGGAGAAGCTTTCTCATCAGAGCTCAGAAGCAGCCAAATGAACTTTTCAAACCCAAACAGGTAACAAGTGTCAACTCGTACGCAGCCAGGTAGGTGGGCTTCAGCGTCTGAGATTTCTCATGCACTGGGCTCCACATTGCAGGATGAGCCGTTCCCATGCACGGAGCTGTTTCACAGCAATTGGCACAGCAGACATGCTGTGAGAAGCACTTGTCAAATAATTCTTGTTTACAAATAAATCTCACAGCGAAGGACAGCACTTACTGAATTAAGTTCAGGTCCACAGTCAGACCCCTCCTAGCAGTAGCTTTTTAGATTTGCATTTACAGAAGAGATGGAAATTAGAGAGCAGCAGTCAGAAAAGTAGCAGCAGAGACAACGTGAAGCAAGAACTCACGCTACTCATCATTACTGTAACATTCTTCTGCAACCTCCCTGTAAAGATGCCACTAAACCCATTTGCTAGGCAGCTTCATTAATCCTTTCCAGCAGTTTCCTATCGTGTAAAAGTCCTATTCTGCAGCTGCCTGTTCAAGCAGAGACACCTCTGTGCTTGGCAAATGGTCTCATCGTCTCAGTCAGTAATATCCAGCATTTCCGAGAACTGGCAAGGATGACTGAGACGGGGCTTAGAGCATCTGTTGGTCTCTCAGCATGGTATCATGGCAGACTGGCTCACACAGGAGAGCATGCTTCCTAAAAGGAAGGTGAGTAACCGGGAAAGCCCTTCTAAATCAGCCACGCCATCTCAACAGCATTGCTCCCATGGGAGAAATCATCTGAAATTGCATGGGGACAGAAGGATTGGGCCCACTGTTATCTAAGGCAAAGCCAAACCGTTTCAATCATTTCCCAAACCAATGCACTTCCTGAATATTTGATATCTTTGTACACAGAGGAACAGTATTTCCCCCTTCCTCTACACCTTTTTTTTTTTTTAAGAAAACTGCAATTCACATTATTCTTGCTCTCGAAAATAAATTATAGCTGGTTACCTCAGGCCACATCTTTGAAATTCTGGTACGATTTTCCTATATCAACCCCTGCATACCTCCTCCTTCTTCTAAAGGAGTTTCACAAATAATTACGGTGCATCACGACGCCAGCCTGCTTCGAGCCGCTGGCAATCCCTGCAGATGCTGAACTTCTCCACCCATTGCTTTCACATTATAACCTGCCTGTGGATCCAAAAATATTAGACTCCACGCAAGGAGAAAAAATCCCAGCCTGATTTCAAAGAATGGAAGCACCCTTCTATACAATCAGCCTGGACGCGTTTTTGGCCATTGACTTCACAGAAATCAAAGGTATAAAAAAATCCGTCCCCAGCGGCCGCGCTCCGCTGCGGGTTACACACCGCCATCGCCACGGCTTCCTTTTATACGTGTATTTTAAGCCACGAAGTAAGCGCACTGCGGCCAGCGCTTGCAGGGCTCCCCACCGAGAGCCTCCCGTGCCCCGCCGAGTGCCTGCCGGCCCCCTAGACCCCCGGCCCCATGCGAACTCCCGGTCCCAGCGCCGCCACCCCCCTGCACCCATGCATCTATGCGACTCCCGGGGCAGACCGCGAGCAGGCACCACCGTGCACACTCACCTGCGCAAAGGCACCCACCCCGCACACATCCATCCCTCCGCAAAAAGGGAACACCCGCTGCCAAACGCGCCCGTGCCAAGGCATCTGTGCACACCCACCCGTGCCAGCCTGCCCGCGCCCCGTGCGGGGCTGCCGCCCGCGCTCATCGCCGCCTCCCTGCGCCGGGAGCCCCCTGCCCCATCGGCAGTGCCATCCGCATGCCTGCCGAGGCATTCGCCTTCCCGCGGGTAGAGCCCGTGTCCACTTCCCCCAGAATGTCCCAAAATTGAATCCGCCGAGTCTGAAGCCGCGCGCCGCCGGGCAGCCACCCTCCCGGGTGGGCGCTGCCCCGACGTCCCGGCCGCCCCGTCCCCGCTCACCCTCGCTGCCGGGGCTCGCCCGCAGGCTCCGGAGCGCGGCGCACAGCAGCAGCGGGAGGAGGCACGTCCGACCGGGAGCCGGCGCCCCGGCGGGGCCGGCCCAGCCGCCGGTGCCCCGCGGTCCCATCCCGCCGTCGCTCAGCGCATGGGGCGGCGGCTCACCCCCAGCGCTGCCCTCTCGGGTCGGCTCAGGACGGGACGCGGCGGGCTGGCAGCACGGATAGACTTCCCCCCTCCACTCCCGTCCAGCCGTCAACGCGACTGGGGAAGCAGGGGGCGGTGATGGGGAGGTGGCCCCGCGCCGCCGCGGAGACGCCCCCGATGGGGCGGACCCACAGCCACAGCCACCGCGTGCGAGGGAAGGCTCCCCCCGCGCCTCCCGGAGCCCAGTAAGCAGCGGGCACCGCGCCGCAAGTGTCCGCCGTGAGGGAGATCTCTCGCAGCCCCGTGCCAGGGAGCGGGAGGCAGCGCTGTCCCTGCGAGGCGCCCCTCGAACCCGCTCAGGGGAGATGGGGAACACCAGATCTTCCCGCACCAGCCACGGGTCACGGTTCCAAAACCTACACACGCACACCCCAGCCCGGAGCCGGGGAAGCCGTGATCTCACAGGGCTGGAAAGCCTGAGAGGAAGGCTCACCCCGGCCGGGTAAGCAAAAATGCCGCAAATTCCGTAATGGAGCCGATAGAAAGATGAGTTTCAGATGTATGTTACCCTGAACCACCACCAGAGCACAGCTTTGAATCCAGCACAGCTAGTTTTAGAGAATCACAGAATATGCTGAATTGGAAGAGACCCAAATGATAATCAAGTCCAACTCCTAACCCTTCACATGACTATTCTCAAGAATCACACTATGTGCCTGAGAGTATTGTTCAAACACTTGTACAGTGAGATTAATTCTAGGATGTTTAGTCACTCATATTAGTTCCTTGCTTCAGGAAACTTCTTCCAGATGAACCAATAAAGACCAAACTCAGCCTTACAGGTGCATAAGCGGCAAGTCAAGGTTAACCAGAGCCCTGCTCACCTCCTGCTGCCCCTCCATTTCACCCGTGTTAATATATATTATAAAAAAGTTAACCAAAGGTTGAGTATCTGCAACAGGCTCTCTCTGTCTCCAAAGTGCAACGTTCAGGACTAGGGTTTCAAGCAATTGGCAATTAAAATATACAATCCCCAGTATTGCCAGTTTGAAGAGGACAAGTAGTTTTCAACTGAGGAACTTCAGATAACTTAGCTCTCTAAACTGACATTACTCATCTTTTATTCCTTATTAGCTGGAAAGTGTGTTTCTCTGTCTTTACACATTTATACACCTCTGCTACTTCCATTAATATTGTTCTAAGCTGTTCGTGGATATTATTTCCGTAAGTGTTGGCTCTTGTCGCGAGAGGATTTTCTACCTCAAGCTAGTTAACATTTTTACTGCCACCAGGAGGACAAGGCGAGGACTGTTACTTTACATGAGGTACAACAGTAGAGTCGCCAGACAGATGTAATGTGTGGCATGCATCTCTTCACTATTTGAATACCCTCCTAGTCCGAAGTTCAAAAGCAGGTTTGCTATCACACCGCTCCTCTAAATCGCACATGACTGGATCCTCAGCTGGAATAAATCACAGCTGAGAATGTCTGACCACATCAGATTAAGTAGGGGAGCAGGGCAATGGGGTATAGTAATTTCTAGAGATTTGCCATCTGTAAAAGCAATGGTAAGTTTTGCCATCCAGAAATCATGGCAATGCAGGAAATCAGAAACAGCACCTTAGTAGCATAGTAAAAAGGATCAGATGGCAAAGAACAAGTAAAATGGTAAGCTGGATGGGCACCTCTGCTGGCCAAGGGGCAAGTCTGCTGTAGCTAGACAAGTATCTTAACAGAATGTCATGTCAAATTGCTGTGTGCTCCCGATTTTCAATGCTGTTTGACAGTTACTAACTGCTGTTCGGACTGCCAGAATTATAATTTAGAGGCATTTCAGATGATATGTTATTGACATCTTAACTTTCTAGGAAACACTGAGATGATCTTTGTATGATTCATATGAGATTTAAGAATAGCCACCATGCTCTAGGTTTCGTTCTAGCTGCCTCTTTTTTTCCTACAGGAAGCAAGCTCCTGGTCCACAACATTTGTTTTGGTTCCCACTCTGGCTGTGGCATAGCAAGAGTATCCCACCTCATCTCACTGGACATCATTGACTACTGATAAAAAAGGAAATGCTGCCTTATACAGGGGGTATTACCTTGTTCCCAAATGCAGGATATTGCAATTTCATGCACCTTATAATGATATCTGCTGGGGTCTCAGTCTTCTAAAACTCTCTTCCTGGTTTTGCCACCAATCTTATTAGTAATCTGCAGCAGGCAACTCCTCACTGGGATTTTGCCTCATCAGTGCACCCAGCAGGCTCTTAAACAGAGGACAGAAATTCTAGCAAAGTGCTGCAGCATCTCATGTAGCCTTGATGGGTAATCAGAGAGAAGCTGGGCAATCTGATGGGATTCCTTCCTATTTCCCATCAAAGAGTATGTCTTCTATTGCTTTGAGCAAAATCACTGTAGAAATCACAAGGGGTTGGTCACCTTGCAAACTATTCAGGAACTTAAACCATCTCAGAATCATGCAATTTCTCCCCATATCCAGCCTATATTTTGTCTTAGTTTCAAATATTTCTTTCTGCATCTCATTAACTTTTTCCTGCTCCTTGCATTTGTGTCTTTTCACCTATGCAAACAGCATTTCCTCTTAATCATCACTCAGCTAAGATCTATATTTCATCCTTTATATCTGTTTCTCACGAATCATTGCTGTAGAGTGTTAGTAATGCTGTTATACTACAAAGTCTCTCCAGTTTTCCCAACATCTCCATCATAATATTTTGCTCAAGAGTGTAATCATACTAGTGCCATAATAAACAACTGTCTCTAAAACGCTTTTGAATATAGTGTCTGAAACTGAAATGACAGCTTTGCCCTGTGTAACTTGCCACTTCACATCTAATTTGCTGTCAGCTACTACATGTGTTTTCAACTATTATTAAACCAGACATCTTTGGAGTTAATGCATTTCCAATTATTTCACTTAGATATGCAAAAGCTCATTTTTCCAAGTTTAATTTCTCTCCTGTGTAGGTAATTCCCTTCATATAATTTCTGTGTTCTGACTGGCTTCTAATTCTGCATTGCCAATTCATTTCATTAGTATGCTATTTTTCCTATCATCAACAAGATACACTTGAAAAATAAATGAGTCCATCCTTCAGATTATTTCAGGAACCAAAAACTGCCAGCCAAATCTATTCCCTATATCATTATCCTTTACTGAAGCATAAGGGCAAAATATTTATTGCATCTCCATATTTAACAGGGCCTTCATCTGACAAAAGAGTCAATTTCATTCTTGAAATTTAAGCTTAAACAGTCCCACTAAGCCCACGTCTTCATTGCAATAGTGGAATAGGAGACCCACTGCAATGTGGCAAACTGTTTAATTAGTTAGGCATATAAGCATTTCCATTTTCCTTTGAAAAGTTCTTTCAAGAGTCAGAGAAGATGACATCTTTAAGGAATACCCTAATGAAATCTAGTAATTTGGTTTTTTGTTTTTCTCCATAAACCTCTTTGAAACAGAAGAATTATTTTCTGTTCAAAAATTAGATTCATATTAAAAGAAAAAAGCAATCCAGGAGCAGCTAAGCAGCTTTGCATAGTAGATGTGGTTGCATGACTGCAACTACAATTTGAGCACAAAATGGCTGTTGTTCAACACACACCATGGCAGCCTTTTCAGGCTGCAGAAAACAATAGTCAGAGCCCCAGTGGACAGCAGACAAATCAGTGCCAGGAGCCAGTGGGGACAGGAATTTTACAGAGCCAGTGCAGGTGGGCCACCACTTGGCCAGAGGAAGTATGTCCGTGACTGTGCCCCTCAGGCTGCTGAAATCTTCACACTGCAGTGCAGAGAAAGATGTTCACCAACGAAGTGGTAATCTGCATTAACAAAAATGAGCAAGTGGTAAATAAAGCATTGCCTGTGCAAGTTCACAACCCAGTCACTTGTGTGGTCTCAGAACCAATTTATCTTTTGCCACCCCCACAAGACACAGGAGTTATTGGCAACCGTGCACTAAGGAAAATCTGCTCACTTCATTTACAGTCTGAAATTAGATCCAAACCCATGAAAATACATGGGAAAAACATGTGAATATTTGTTTCAGTCAGAAAAGGCTTGGAGAAAGCATGACATTTCAGCCTGGCATTTTCTTTCAGAGCACTTCATCACCAGCCCTCAGTCCTGATAAGAGTCTTTCCAAAAGCCCATGACCTGGCAGCACACTCTCCCCTTTGCAAATGCCATGTCACTTCTTCCTTTTCACTGCCTTACAGTGACCCCCATGGAGCCAGATCCCAGGCTTTAGAAGAACACTGCAGGCAGAGTAATGTTCCCTGTCTTGGAGGGGACAGTGTATATCAATATCACTTCACATGCCAATGTGGATTAGATTGATCAGAAAAATAATCCAGGTTAGATATGGAAGTATACATTTGTGAGCACCAAGAGAAGCAGACACAGCTGGCACTACTTGCAGCCCACTTGCTACTTAGCAAGTATCAAGGTGTTTCTTTGCATCACACCAGAGGAGAGCATTAAAGGGAGCAAATGAAATGGCTTTGCAGAGATTTATGGAGCTTTTCTAATGCAGAAAGTGAAGCACAGGAGAAAGTGCAAAGGCTAATTTGATTACACTGTTAGCTCTGTATAAATTTAATAATGGACTTGCTTCCACATTTCTCATGATAACCTATTTACATGCATCCACTAACTGCAGTAGCTCTGCACCTCACACTCCTGAGCTAGTATTCCCAACCCACCCCTGTGAGGAAGAAAAATATTACTACTTCTGCACAGACAGACAGAAACAAAAGAGATGTTAAAGATTCAGATAAACATTACTGAATTGATTACGGCTTCTCTAGATCTGGAACAGTGTTCTCTAAATACTAATGAAATTATCATATTCTTCTATCAGAATAAGAATCAGCAGATATTAAAAGGAACTGCCTTATCTCCTCAGGACATTGAGTCATGAGATATAGCAGACACTGCACAAGCTTGTGCCAGTGACTTGGGTGCATTTGCA